TTACAAAAATTTAGTAAATTTTAAGATAAATTACAAAAATACACTTTTAGATTTGATTAAAATATTAATCATCTCTAATGGTTTCGAAAATTACATTTCATCTATTAAGATTTCTAATTTCATAACAAATTGTTTATTTTATTAATAAATTATCAAGTCAGTTAACAGTTTTTAATAATGTTAGAAATATGTTTCAATTAATAATTTATATAATTTTATTATTATATAGAAGAACAATTATGAATTTTATTTTTTCAGTTAATTCTGTTAAATAAAAATTATGATAAGGAGGTATTTATAATTTTTCAAATCACATAGAGCGATTTGTACTTTAAGCAAAATTCAGAAAGTGTATTTATAATTTACCTTAAATTGTATAAATTATTTAGAGCTTCTCGAATAAGTTCAAATTAAACATTTTAGTTAGTCTCATCTCAAACTGTGATGTTAAGGTTCACATCAACATCAACATTGTATCAAATTACATAACCACAAGCCTCAACTTTCATTTGAATATAAACATGTCGTGAATGTTCACACAAAAACATATGAATGTGAATGTTCACATGAATTATGGAATATAGATATTAACATTATGAATATTAACATTTGTATTCACATTCATATGTTTTAGTGTGAACATTCACGTTATTTGATATTAACATTATGAATATTAACATTTGTATTCACATTCATATATTTTAGTGTGAACATTCACGTCATCTAATGTGAATATTTACATTCATGTTATCTGATGTGGACATTCACGTCATCATGTACGGTCAACATTTGGATGCATGAAAACTATAATGACAATCAATAAAGAACCATGTTTAATTTTGTGTATGTAATGTATATCAACATTAAATAGTGGTGTGTAATTAATGCATATCAACATTAAATATAAGGGTATAAGAGTCTAAGAAAATAATGTAAATCAAGAAAAAAGATCTTATGAAATAAATGTATAAATATATGGGACTAAGTGAGTTATAAATTTCTTTCATGAACTTCTTGAATTAGAACACTTCTAAGTAGGACCTATCAATAAAAATCCCTTAGAAAAATGGTTAGATTTTTCTACTCTTTTTTTTTTTTTTTTGATATAATGTTTATGAAAAAATTGGTGAAATAATTATGAATTTGATATGATATTTTATTTTATTAATTATTTTAATTTATTTATCTTTCTATAAATTTTAACTAAAAACAAATTCAAAAAAACCTCTTGCCAAACAGAACCTATGTACATGTTTGTTTGGGGTTTAGAATTGAGGGGATGCAGGCAGACTCTGGTGCGATTGAATAAAAACAATATTGCTGCGGTGATGTTAGATTAAAGGTATACGATAAAAATGTATTTGTACATCAGATTAGTAATAGTATTAATATATAAAATTAATATTTTTAATTTTTAGTAGTTAATTTTTAGTAGTATTTTAATATTATATATATTTTTTTATTCTTATAAATATTAAATTTTGTTCAAAAATCATTTAAAAATTTATTAATTCCCTCACGTAATTTGGAATCTTAACTTTCCTATAGGATTGGTAGTCTTACCAATTGGGAAATTACTAATCCAAAGGATAATTAATGGGAGCTTTTTTAATAAGTCCATTCTCTAAGAATCCTATTCCATAAACCCCATAGTGTTTTCTACTATTCCATCAGGTCCTATTTTATATTAAAAGACCAAAACACCCTTCTCCTCTTCCCCTCTCTTTTTTTGCAGAAAATCACACACAATATCTCCACCCTTCCGAAAACCCAAAATCGTATTCCATATCGTCTCACACCCATACGCATCTCATTGTTCCATCGTCGTATTTGTACATCAGATTAGTAATAGTATTAATATATAAAATTAATATTTTTAATTTTTAGTAGTATTTTAATATTATATATATTTTTTTATTCTTATAAATATTAAATTTTGTTCAAAAATCATTTAAAAATTTATTAATTCCCTCACGTAATTTCTAATCTTAACTTTCCTATAGGATTGGTAGTCTTACCAATTGGGAAATTACTAGTCCAAAGGATAATTAATCCCTTCACTCAAGTCCCTGACCAAACATTCTTTATCTTAAATATTATTAATCCAATTTTTCTCTTCAAAGAGTCAAACAACAAGGCTCATAACTTAAGAATAAATAATTTCTGAGTCCTAACTAAAAAACTAAAAAAAAACAAAAACAAAAAAAAAAAGTAACAATCAAACACTATATGAGGTATAATCAAAGATGTTATGAGTTATAACTAAAAAAAAAAAATTAATCATAATTAAAAAAAATAACATAATTAGAATGCATATAATACACTCTTTCAAGAGAAGTGTAAAGTAGCATTTTCCAAGTTTCTTTCATCCCACAATTACACTACTATTGTTAGGCTTATTTATTTAATTATATTTTAATTTATTTGGAAGAGAAAAATAGAATCAAAATTTATTTTGATGATTTATTTAAAAGAAAAAAATAGAATCAAAATTTATTTTGATGATTTATTTAATTATGTTTTAATTTATTTAAAAGAGAAAAATGGAATCAAAATTTATTTTGTCCCATTATTTCTCACCAAAACCTTTATCCTAAATGTTGTTAGAATGTATTTAATATTTAATTAAATCAGATGTTCAAACAGCCCAAAAACAGATGTTCAAACAACACAGCAGCAGTTCAAAAGGTTCAAATGGAAGATATTTAAATTTGTAATGATGGAGTGGAAAATATTCAAATTAGTAATGATGGAGTACAGTGGCTATAAACGGTTATAAATTCAAATTAATACAAATTTATAATGATGGAGTGGAAAATATTCAAATTAGTAATGACGGAGTACAACGACTATAAACGGCTATAAATTCAAATGAATACAACGGCTATAAACGGTTATAAATTCAAATGAATACAACGGCTATAAGTTTCATTATATACGCCAAAGTCTCTAATGTAAACAAGTTACGACAAAAAAACAGAAAATATTCTTTGATTTATAATCACTCACATCTATTCTCTGAGGAGTGTTCTTCAATTTTTGTTTACATCCTCTTTCAGAAATTATACACTGAGACGTATAGCTTTAAGCTCATCTTTCGTGTGTGAGGTTTACAGAAAAATCAGAGTTTCATTTTTATATCTATCTTTGAGAGATAATTCTTGTAACTTTCTGTGAAAGCAAAAACACATTCTTTTCAACCTTGTAAGAGTGTAGTATACTCAGTGTTTTTGACTTAGAAAATCAGTGTAAAATCCGTAGAGGATTGCTCCATTTGTAAAAAGATTGCTAGTACCTCGTGAAGCTAGAGCATAGTGAAAAATCTCAAGCGAAACTTGAGGAGTGGACGTAGGTCGAGTTGAAGCCGAACCACTATAAATTTGTTTGTCTCTCTCTCCTATCTCTTTATTTTATTTAAATTGTTGTAACTATATTTCACATTTTTACTGTGTTAAAATCATTAACTGACATAGTTATTAAAAAACTTGTTTTAATTATTTTTATTTCATTAACTATATTTATCTATTGTGCTAGGCATAATTTTTATTAAGATATTATTAATTTTTAATTGTAAAAACCTAATTCATCCTCTCTTAGGTTGTCTTTTGGATAACAACTATGAAAATTGTTACTTTTGTTTAAATAAATGTTATTTTTTCAAAATAATAGTACATGTTTATCAATTTTATGTAAGAGTTTTTTTGATAAATTCTTTTTTAAGAGTTTTATTCTATCTAATTCATTTTTTTTTTTTTTACTATTTTATTAGATCCTATTTGAGGTAAGAAGAACAAAACGCCCTCAATTTCTCATATCCCCTATTAATGTTAATATTTAATGTTGATTGTTATTATGTTTTGGTAGTTCCCCTGCATCAAGAGGTTGACTGTCATTATATTCATATTAATTTGAAATAAATTTTTGTCAATGTGTTGTCAATTACATAATGTGAATATTCATATCATGTAATTGAAATAAATATTCACATCATTATATTCATATTAATTTGAAATGAATTTTTGTCATTGTGTTGTCAATTACATGATGTGAATATTCATATTAAAACATAAGAGTGTGAACGTTCACATCACTACATTAGATGAGAGAGAATATTCACATGTTGTGAACGTTCACATCATTACATGTTGTGAATAAGAATGTGTTGTCAATTAAAAATATAATGAACGTTATTTTTAATATGTTGTCAATTAAAAATAAGAAAGTTTATATGTTATGAACGTTCACATCACTACATTAGATGAGAAACTTTTTTTCGGAAAGGTGTTGTGAATGTTCACATCAAATGAGAGAGAATGTTCACATTATTTTTAACATGTTGTCAATTAAAAATATATTTACATCAGATAAGAGAGAAAATTCACATTATTTTTAATGTGTTATCAATTAAAAATATACTCACATTATATAATAATATAAAATAATAACATCAATGTTACTTAATTTGTATATGAAATTTCTTATGTTTTGGTCTTTTCTCTTCTCTTTTCCCCCTAACATTAAATATCAATATTAAATATAAGAATATAAGAAAATAATATAAATAAAAAAAAAGACTTTATAGAATAAAAATATAAATACACGAGATTAAATGAGTTAAAAAATTCATTCATTGACACCTTTAAATTAAAATACTTCTAAATAAAATTATCAATAAAAATCTCTTTTTTTAAATACAAAAATTTTAATCTACTAAAATAACTATTAAGCCTCTGTTTGGCAACTTAGGTTTTGAGTTTTTTTGGTTATTTTAGCCACAAAAGATAAAATAGGCTATTTTATCCACAAAGAACAAAACATCACATTCAATCCATAATCATTACAGTCTTCTCTCACAAAAAAAATCAAAAAATTCAAAAAATCAAAAAATTCTACCCAAACCAAACTTTTTAACTCAAGCTAAAATAGCAAAAAAATCAAAAAATCAAAAAGTCAACCCAACTTCCCAACCAAGCCTAAATATTTCCCAAACGATTTTTTCCAAGAAACTCAGCGTAAGGAAGAGGCGGTTGGTTGAGATGAGCGAGCGTGTGTGATTCCTCCTCCGTCAGTCCGAGTTCCAACTGACCAAATTCTGGGTTTCTGATTTGTGCTTTGAGAGAGAGAGAGAGCTGCAAGCACAGACTCATCATCAATTATCGGATAGAAAAATGTGGATGTCAGTTCTGCCGGAGGAGCTGTGGAGAAGAATACTGGAAATTGGGGTAGTTGAAACCCCGAATTTGCTAAACTTCAAAGACCTGTGTTGCCTCTCCATCACTTGCAAACGCCTCTACAGATTGTCCAACGACCCTTCTCTCTGGTCCTCTTTACTCTCTTCCCTATATATATATATATAGTTTGGTTGCTTAGAGGAAATGGGTTTTTCTTTTTCTTCTTTTTCGGGGAAAGCAAATGAATGTTTAGTGATTCATATTCACCATCCATCTACACAGCCTAAGCAAAATGTTTTATTTTTTTTCCCCTGCTGTTTGTTGGAATCAAATGGATGTTCGTTGGAATCAAATGGATGTTCGTTCATTGATTCTGGAACACTGGTTAAGAAGTACTTGTTAATCTGAACTCAACCAAAGCAACTGGAATCGGACGATTTGAAAATTTTCTTTTACTTCTGTTTATGGGAAATTATACCGATTGATTGTGGAAAAGTGGTTAAAGAATTTTGGACAAATTGAAATAGGTTTGAGAGAGGGAAAGCTCGAAAACTTGCAGCTCATCATCGCGCTGTTCTTAGAATTGAGAGTCAAATTGCGGAGCATTCCAGAAAGCTGCAAGAGATACAGCTTCGGTCAGTGGAGGAGACTGAGAAAATGAAGGCAACAGGTGCAGAACTATCAAACTTGCGCAAAGTTAGGTAATAATATTGATAATGTTAAATCAAAATTTCAAATGTTCTTTCATTCTTCTCTTTGCAGACTATCTTTTTATGCAACTTTAATCATTTTTCCACATGTAAGGTACTTGTTGACTATAACCCAAAACAAATCAAACCAAAGTAAGCCTTGTGTCCTAATTAGGTTGGGTCAGCTACATGTTCCAATGCTTTAAAAGATTTGGTGCTTGTTGAGCGACCATAAACAATTCAGGAGCCATGTTCCTGGGAAGTCAGTGCTATCCCATTTAGGACAAGGCTTATTTAAAAAAAAAAATGTCCATTCTATTCTTGAATTTTTTGTGCTAGCTAAATTGTATAGAATTGGAGTTACAATTGACTTTAATGCCTATCTTGTGTACCAATGTGAACCTTTTGGTTAACGACTCTGATTGTTTATAATTCTCTAAATCTAATCATATAGATACTTTGGTAATTGCAAATTTGATTGAATCTCTACCAAATTCTTTTTCCCTAGTATTCTTAGTACTTTGTTAGTTTAGAACAATTTGGAACTTTTCAGCTTAATGGCAAGATGTTGTGATTGGTTTGATCCTATCAGGCAAGCTTCAGTGGCCTTAAATGTGTGGCAGCCAGAGGTTGTTCGGGGTAGGCATAAACAAATAGTTGAGCAATGTGTTGTACCTGCTGACTCTCGAATCCATGCACTTGAGATGGAACTAAGGCTCTGCAAGCAGCAAATTACTGGTCTTGATAAGGCTTACGTTAGTGAAATTCCTAAATACATGCCATTGGGCTTAATTTTGGGTTTGATGGAAAATGGTACAGAATATTTATGATGTTTATTTATGTAACGTGGCAGAGAGATGAGAAGAGAAGGCTTAATGCAGCAAAGGAACAGTTGGCATCCGTAAAGTATCACCCCGTGAGAGATTACAGCTCGACTAGTGGCAGGGTTGATGAATGTTGCATTAAGAGGAAGAAGTTGAAAAACGAACACATCAACTGTAAGTTTTGATTTCCTTATCGATTTATTTTAGTTCTTGATATGCAGTTTCCTTCTCTGTTTATATACAGTAAATTTCATGAGTCACTAGAAAAATCTGTTGCATTTTCTGTACCATTCTCTGTGTGTGTGTGTGTGTGTGTTTGTGTGTGTGTGTGTGTGTGTGTTTGCAAGCTTAACTTTCTTTTTCTTTTTTTGGGTATGTAAAAATAATGAAGAAGACACTGAATGGGCTGCCACCTGAGTACAAAAGTATATTGACAAAAAGCAACAAAGCCCTATCTGCATGAAGCAAAAGGACCCTACAAAATCCTAATTATGTTCTGTTCTGTGGTCAGGTTGATGATACCCCAAAATTCTCATAAATTTACTGTTTAAACTAAAAGAAGTCTACATCAAATGACCTTCCCATTCATTGTCCCCAAGTAATCCACATAACCCAAAGAACTGCCAAATTCCAAGCCTTCTTACTCTTTCTCACTTCCAATTATGAATAGAGTTAGTCAATGATGAAGGCAATCTTAACTTTATGACTTGATTTGCTTTGTTTTAAAGTCTTACCTACCCCCTCCCCTACTCTCTTCCAGAGTTGTGTGTCTGCAAAATGGAATCCTGAGTTGTATTCTAAGTTGTTGCTTGTCTTCCAAAGGTCATAATTATGCTTGCACTATTTAACACCTTGGATCCCATGACCTGAGACCTTGAATGGGGTAAGGGATAGGGATGGGTCAAAAATTAAATTAGTCAAAGGAGTGCAAAAAGGTCTCCAAAGGGTTGGATCAAGTCAAAGGGTCAAAGGTGGAAAGTCAATAAGGTGAGGCAGTCGCTTGAGCGGACTAACTGTAGACTCGACTTTCTTCACGCGCCCTCTTTCGGAGAGCTCGAATTGGTCCTATAGTTCGGATTTCTGTTACGGTTCTGAATTTAATCTCACAAAGTGCAATGTGAGACTGATAAACACCAAAGAGTCCAAATCCGGCAAATTGTTTTGGAAAATCGATTTTGAATCAAAAAGTGCCAAACATGGACTGCTTTGCTAGATTACAGAGTCACCACTTAAATATTTTATTTTTGGAAAATTTAGGAAACCCTGACTTGTGCCAAAAGTCACGTGTCCGTCATCACCAAAGTTGCCTCGGCTCGGGAACTCAGGTGCCTCGGCTTGGGAACTTGGGTACGAGAGAGGAAGATCCTGAAATGAGCACCCCTACTCGCCCGATCAAAGTATCGGCTTCTACTAAGCATGATATGTTGTTTGATAAGCACATGTGTTCTTATTCTGATTATTAGCTAACTTTACTATGTGACGCACACAAAGTAAGTATAGACTAGATCGCAAGAATTGGAACAAATCAACTCGTGTTTGTTTTCAAAAATGGTTTGAAAGTGCCACTCGTAAGTGGGCTAAAGCGCGGATTTGCCACCCTCAAGTGGGCTTAAAACATGATTTTGCCACTTCGCAAAGCGGGCTTAAAACTCACATTTATCGAATTGTCCCAATTCAAGCAACAAAGCCTTCACTCACAGGCATTCAAGCAGTTTAGCAAGTAAGCAAATAGCCTCATGGCAAGTATGCTATCATGGCAACACTCACACTCATGCAAGCGTGCTAAAGTGTAAAACTTACAGTGTACTCTAAGCTAAAACAAAAGCTAGTTAGAAACAATGCATGATTCTAACTATACAAGATGCCTAATACAACACATGCAACATGAAATTAATAGGCTCGATTACTAATATGGCATATGAATGGAACAACTTGATAACATGACATATTCAAGGAAGTGTATTGAAATACAATGCAGTTTGAATGATGCGCCAAGCCCGGTGCATGCAAGACAAATGAATGATGTAAACATGCAAGCATAAGGTATGCTAATCAAAACGTGTCCTAAACTAACCATCGAAAGCGGTTAAGTAAAAGGGAGAAAGAAGTGGGGTTGGAAGACACGCACACACGCACGCACGCACCCTTATTACAACATTGTGTCCTCGCGAAGGAGGATTCGAATAAATAAGTTAAGCTAAACTAATTATTACAACACAAAACAAAACTAATTAAGTATTCTAGCTAATTAATTATTACAAACCGAATTGAATAACTAGTTATGTTAAGCTAATTAAAATATTACAAAACAGATTAAACTAATTAATTACAACACTTGTATTAATTAGCTACAATTAACTAATAAAGCAATTAAAGTGGCCTCGCGGGCGAGGGGGACATGCATGCTCGGTTGGCTTCCTCCCAAAAATTCATCGCCTTGCCAAAGGTTGCCTCTGTTTGCACTCGCCGTGATTTCTGAAAATTGCACCAACTTCCAGACTCTCAAAAATTCATCGCCTTGCTAAAGGTTGCCTCTGTTTGCACTCACCGTGATTTCTGAAAATTGCACCAACTTCCAGACTGTTTCTGATCCAAAATAGGAACACTTTTGCACAAAAATGGATTGGTGGCCGGTCGGCCACAGAAGGTGGCTGCCAGCCACCTTAACTGGCTGGTCGGCTAGTATAAGTGGCCGGTTGGCCACCCTTTTTTCCAGGCTTCTGGTTTTGCTGCAACAGAGAACAACAGAGGCAAAGCAATGCATTTTTCAAGGAATGTGTCTACTGTCACCCTCCTTATCATTTCTCAAGCTCAAAGGAGTATGGCACTTGGTTCTCAAGCCACCAACCAAGCATTATCATGCATGATGGCCAAAGAACCAAGCTTGTATAAGCTTAATGAATGCACAGATAGACTCAAAGGGCCACCACCCTATCATGCATGATCAAGGGTGACGGCGACCGAGAAACGTGGCACGTTTCATCACTTTGAGTATGAAACGTCCTCCAATTCTCGTGTTTGGATTAACGTCCGATCCAAACACATACAATGCAACACAAACATGCTTATTATCTTGCTCAAGTTTTACTTGTCGTGTTTTATTTACTCATTTTAGATTACCGATTAGTCCTTTAACCGATTAAGTCCAAAGTGAGAGTCCTCTAATTGGAAAGAGGGTCTAAGCCACAAGAGCCTTGAGCATGAAAGAGACCTCATGCTGTTGGTTAGTAGAAACCCTCAAGAGATGATTAAAACCATTAGGCATGAGAGTCTCAATTTCATACTCAAGCCAACAAGGGGCTCAAAGCCACTTTCAAAACAAATTGAAAAGTGAAGAATAGGGGGAGGTTGCAGACTTTTCAGTGCTGATATGGCATGCAAAATGACACTAAATCATGCAAGCAACACACATGCACAACATGCTACGAGCCAAAAGCATCAAAACTAGTGAAGAGTGCAACACTATAAGCATGCAACACTAAGTTCAATTGACCAAACCAGCTCTGGACAGAGTTGAAACATACCAAAACAGTGGCTAAAACATGCTGAGATAGAAGCATAAAAGGTTAGAAAAACATTCTCATATGTTAGCTCGCAAATGAGACTCAAGACACAACTCTCAAAAGCAATGAAAAAGTTAAATAAATAAGCATGTGACAGAGATTATGATGCTGAAATTACATGCAAAATGATGCTACAACATGGAAACAACTCAAACACTTCATGCTCAAAGCCTCAAAACAATGGACTAGTGAAGACCGTTACACTATAGTCATGCAAAACAAGCCTCGAATTACTTAACCGACCCAAAATAGAGTTAAAGTAGGTCAAAATAGTAGCTAAAACAAGCTGGATTTAAGTTAACACAAGCTAGAAAAATAGGCTAACTCATTAGGCATGCTAGTCTAGTAAGCACAATTGCACTACAAGTACAAAAAGCAAGCAACAGGTGCACCAACCAACCAAAAACAGAGTTGAAACATGCCAAAACAGAGCCTAAATCATGCTTGAAATAAGCTAACACAAGCCACAAAAACATGCTACTACGTAATGCTAACTAAGCATGGAAGAGAGACTCACGGAGGGGAGGCCAACCCCTCCATTTTTGGACTTCAAAGCATACTTTTTACCACTGAAATAATTCTGAATTTTAGTGGTTTAAAGGCCCAAAAAGTTTGACTTTTACATGCTAGAAGATGAGGCAAAGGCTGATACAAATATACAACAAAGAGGGGTAGACAACCCCTTAGCACCAAATGGCTTCAATCCAACATGTTTAGGCCCAAAAATCAGAACTTTTTGTAGTTGAAAACTAGGCTCAAAATAGCATAAAAAGATGGTAAGACAAGAGTGTACAAAGAGCTTAAATGAGGTAAGTCTTATACCTTTGAAGCGCAACACTTAAACAATCACTTTCTAGGCTCAAATGACCTTCCAACAGCCCAAAATAAGTCCCAAGATGCCTCAGCTCCAAGGTGGTCCAATTTGGTTAAGGGGTTATATGCAAATACGTAGAGAATTCTAACTTTCAAGCATAAACAAGAGGAGAGAGAGAATTGTAGAGAGAGAGAATTGTAGAGAGAGAGGTTCTAGAGAGAGAGGCTCCCAAACTTTTCTTCCTCAAATGTTCTAACCTTCTAAACTATAGAGAATGGCCTCCATATATAGCAAAATACAAGCTCAGGTCGAAATATCTGAATTAGGACAACTGGCACATTGTGAAAACAGTTGGAGAGGAAATGCAAAATATCTGAGTTTTGGACACAAGTGGCCGACCGACCACCTTTAGTAGCCGACCGGCCAACCCACTTTTCTGGCCGACTGGCCACCTCTGGTGGGCGACAGCAAAAATCTGCTTTCCAGGTCCAACTTTAAATGGGCATATCTCATTCGTCTGGATTCATTTTCAGGTCATTCTTGTGCCTAAATTGAAGCCCCAGAAGTTTTCTTTCCAATGGTGGCAATCTTACATCGAAATTCCAAGTGTGCTAAGAGATATCCCTCTTTTAGTGAAGACTGCTCAGTTTCAGTCCAACTGGATTCATGCCTAACTTCTCCGCAGCTAGTTTTCTTCCCTCCTCTCCACTTTTCTTCAACCCCAAACCCCTAAATAAGGTGTTTTGAAAGATTTTTCAAAGATTTCACCTCTCTTTCATTCATTTCCACTTTGTCCT